GTCATATAATAGTTCTATTTTTAGTTTTTTGAGAAACCTCGATACTGTTTCCACAGTGGCTGCACCAATTTATATTCCCACCAACAGTGTATGAGGGTTCCCTTTCTTTTTGGAAAAAACATATTTATTTATTTAGGCTGTGCCGGGTCTCAGTTGCAGCATGCGGGATATTTAGTTGCAGCGTGCGAACTCTTAGTTGCGGCATGCACGTGGGATCTAGTTCCCTGACCAGGGATTGAACCTGGCCCACCCCCTGCATTACGAGCTTGGAGTCTTAGCCACTGGACCACCAGTCCCAAGGGTTCCCTTTTCTCCACATCCTCACCAATGTTTGTTACTTGTGTCATTTTTGATGATAGCCATTCTGACAGGTATGAGGTGATAGCTCATTGTGGTTTTGATTTGCGTTTCCCTGATGATTAGTGATGTTGAGCATCTTTTCACGTGCTGCTTGGCCATCTGCATGTTCTCTTTGGAGAAATGTCTATCCAAGTCTTCTGCCCATTTTTTAATCAGGTTGTTTATTTTTTTGATGTTGAGTTTTATGAGCTGTATATATATGTTGCGTATTAACTCCTTATCAGTCATATCATTTGCAAATATTTTCTTCCATTCAGTAGGTGTCTTTTCGTCTTGTCAGTGGTTTCCTTTGCTGTGCAAAAGCTTTTAAGTTTAATTAGGTCCCATTTGCTCATTTTTTGTTTTATTTTCTTTGCTTTAGGAGACTGATCCAAAAAGAAATATTGCTACTATTTATGTCAAAGAGTGTTCTGCCTGTATTCCTCTAGGAGTTTTACTGTCTCCGGACTTTTTTGTTTGTTTGTTTGTTTGTTTTTTTGACTGTGTTGGGTCTTCGTTGCTTCGTTGCTTTGTTGCTGGGCTTTCTCTAGTTGCGGTGAACGGGGGCTACTCTTCATTGCGGTGCTCAGGCTTCTCATTGCAGTGGCTTCTCTTATTGCGGAGCATGGGCTCTAGGTACGTGGGCTTCAGTAGTTGTGGCATGTGGGCTCAGTAGTTGTGGCTCGCGGGCTTAGCTGCTCCACGGCATGTGGGATCTTCCCGGACCAGGGCTTGAACCCGTGTCCCCTGCATTGGCAGGTGGATTCTTAGCCACTGCGCCACCAGGGAAACCTATGGTCTCTGGTCTTACATTTAGGTCTTTAATCCATTTTTAGTTTATTTTTGTACATAGTGTTAGAGAGTGTTCTAATTTCATTAGTTTACATGTAGTTGTCCAGTTTTCCCAGCACCACTTATTAAAGAGACTGTCTTTTCTCCATTGTATATTCTTGCCTCCTTTGTCATAGATTAATTGACAAAAAGTGCATGAGTTTATTTCTGGGCTCTCTATTCTGTTCCATTGATCTATGTGTCTGTTTTTGTGCCAGTACCATAGTGTTTTGATTACTGTAGTATAGTCTGAAAGTCAGGTGGGACGTGATTCCTCCAGCTCTGTTCTTCTTTCTGAAGATTGTTTTGGCTACTTAGGGTCCATACAAAATTTAAGATTATTTGTTCTAGTTCTGTGAAAAATATCCTTGGTATTTTGATAAGGATTGCATTGAATCTGTAGATGGACTCAGGTAGTATAGCCATTTTAACAATATTAATTCTTCCAGTCCAAGAACATAGTATATCTTTCTATCTGTTTGTGCTGTCTCCAATTTCTTTCATCAGTGTCTTATAGTTTTCCAAGTACAGGTCTTTTCCCTCCTTAGGTATGCTTTTTCCTAGTTATCTTATTCTTTTTGATGTGATGGTAAATAGGATTGTTCTCTTAGTTTCTCTTTCTGTTAGTTCATTGCTAGTCTATAGAAATGCAACAGATTTCTGTATATTAATTTTGTATCCGGCAACTTTACCAAATTCATTGATGAATGAATTGATGAATTCGGTAAAGTTGCAGGTGAAGGAGGCTCCTCACCTGACTTTCTCCTTCCTTTGCACTGCCAGCATTCCCAGGTGCACAACTCAGTGTCCCCACCTCAGGACAGGCTCCCTCCTCCCAATGAGGAGGCCAGTACCTTCACAGACCCTCCTGTGGGGAACCAAGGGTGTCTCTGGCCTCTGGGGTCTCTGTTCAGGGTGGAGTAGTCCCTCCTCTCCCCTTCCCACCCCACCCAATTCTACCCCACCCAAGCCTGGGGGGGCCACACCCAGGCTTTTAGACAAACAAAATCAAGGGGAAAAAGTTAGCAAGAAGGAGGGAGCTCATTACTAGGAATTAAGGAGGAGGTATGCCCCGGGGTAAGATGAGAGGGACTGGTCACTCAGACTCTCTTAGGTACTTAGGTACATGACATGTTCACTTAGAAGTACACATAGAAAGACCCAAACACAAAGAGTCAGGCAGGGACAGAGACACAGAAGGAGACATGGTCAGCCAGGGGCACAGACCCAGAGCCATACCAGACAGACTGAGAGAAAGATAGGTACACCCAGCAGCACTGAGAGGTGCACAGCTGCGTGTGCGCACACACAAGCAGGCACACAAGGAAACGGAAACCCAGCTCAGGTTTCAGGGAGGTGGATTTCAATGCAAGCAAGTCAGAGCTTTAAGGAACCATGAGCTCCTCCAAAGATGGCTGTGGAGAGGACTAGCTCAGGAAGAAGGGACAGAGATGAGACGTGGGATCTTGATTCTCAAGTCCACCCTGGCAAACGGATTAAGCTACTTTCCTGAAAGAGATGAAGAGATTTCTTTCTAGAACTTGCTATCAGACAGAACTGCTGGTAGGAGGCACATCTTAGAAGGGAGTAGGGGAGGTGGGAAGCTTCGCTCCTGCCCCCAGGGGTCATGCTGCTACTTGGCTTCTGTCACTGGGCAGCCAGGCCTTCCTCTTCCTCACTCGGTCTGACATTCCATCCAGCGTGTTCCCTAGGCTGCATGCTCCTCTGCTCTCTACACCCATGGTGGCCCCCTCTTGTGTCTCCCTTCTATTCCTCCCAAAACCCTCCTCAAGTTAAGGCACGGCAAGCCATCACCCTGTTCTTCCACCCCCCTCTCAGGAACTTCAGATTTGTGGAAGGCATCTGAGGCGGAAGAGGATATTAAATTCAATGACCTTTAAAAAACAGCCTTCAGATCTCTCCACCAACCACCATACCCCCTCCCCTGTTCTGCAGGAAAAAATCATTTTTTTGACATTTATTGACTATTATCTTCCATTACCTCCTCCTCTCAATGTCTCCCAATTCACAGATGAGGAAACTGAGGTTCAGGGAAAGAAAATGACCACCCCAGTATCACACAGCTAGAGAGAGGCCAAGCTGGGCTTGGAATCCAGGTCTGACTACTTGTTCACCACTGGGCCAGAAGCCCTCCCACCACCCCCTGGGCTGACTGGTCAGGGTCAACTGCAGGAGTTGAGAGTAAGAGAAGACAAAGGGCATGGGGCATGCTGGGGAGGATAGCAGAGTGAGGGTACCCAAAGCGGGACAGGTGTGGCTGCAGTGAAACTCTGAAGCACACATTCTCCTCCCACGGTTTGCCCTTTCTCCCCCCAGGGCCTGAGAAGGGGACACTCCCTCTGGCTCAGGTCCCTTCAACATTCCAGACACGCCTCTTGGGAGCTGGGGACGGGTGGGTGGAGACCTGAGATGGAACTGCCTTCCCCCAGCCCCACCTGCCCAGAGTCCAGGCTGTGAGACCCACGCCCTCTGGGCCATGGTCTCCGTAACTGTGAAGTGGCTGGGGAGCAAGAGTTGGCTTATCCTCTAAAAACCACAGTCCTCCTCCAGACCCAGGCATCCCAATGTGGTTAACTCTGCAGGAGAGCTTGGGTTGGGGCCGCCTTCCCTTTTTATTCCCAGTGAAATTTGAGGAGGATTCGGTAAGGAAGGAGTAGGAGGTGGGAAGGGGCACGTGATCTCCCAGCAGAGCTTCCCAGGCTTCAGTCAGGGCACCAGAGTCAGTCCAATCCCAGATCCCAGCCTTACAGGACACAGGGATGCCTCAGACTGAAGAACTGAAGCACAGGAGGCACGAATGAATGCAGCTGTGGTCTCTGGGTTCAGACGACTGACTGTAGAGATGGTGAAAGAATGGGTAAGGCAGGGATGACTTCCTGGAGGAGGTGATAGAGCAGATCAGGAGGATTTTAGTGAGTGGGCAGTGAGGTCGGAAGGCACAGGAGCATACAAAGTAGTCTGGGGTGGATGGAGCATCGTGAGGGGAGGTGTAGGGACCAGGGCCAGGTCCTGGAGGGCCTGACTGCAGGATGGAGGGATTTGAATTGTCGCTGGGTAGCGGGGAGAGCCGTAGAAAGAGGCCCACTTTCAGCGGGGGTTTTCAGAAAGATCCCTCTGGTTGCTGTGTGGACTGACTGGGGCAAACTGGAGTCAGAGAGGCTGCTCAGGGGGCTGTGGCCAAGGTCTAGTTGAAGGTGATAGAGCCCAAACAGCTGCGAGGTGTAGAAGGCAATAACAGGTTCCCTATCTGATTGGTCTCTTCCAACAACAGGGAGCTCACTATTTCTTGGGTAGCAGTCCTCTCCTTCGGGCAGCTCTGCCTGGGAGAACGTTCTTCCCTAGGCCAGGCTTCAGCCTGCCTTCCTGGGGTAGTAGGTGGGTGCAGGGGTTGGGAAGATGTGATTCATTGTACTGGGGGATCCCAGGAAGATGGAAACTTGGGGGAGAATGTGGGACTCCGAGTTCAAGCTGAGCTGAAGGAGCTCTCTGACCTGTCTGTGTGACTGACCCCTGCCCCTAGGGCAGGTTTGAGTATTACCCTCAGGGTGCCCTGGCTATCTGTGGCCAAACTCAACGAAGCTCTTTAGCCGGCAGAGCAAGCACAGAGATATTTACACAATTGGCATATATTTTATTATTTTTTAATAAAAGGCAAAAGAGTACATGAGTTGAGGATTAAAGGAGTGAAGAAAAAAAAAAAGGAATGAAGAGCCTATTTAGAGTCTCCCAACCCCCATCCCTAAAACTGTAATATCTTTTATACACACACACACACACACACACACACACACACACACACAAACACACACACATATATATATATATACACTTTTTTCTTTCTTTTTTTAAAGAGCAAATGTGAAACTTATGACCTGGACTTCACCCCACCCACCTCATGCCTCCATTGTGACAGAAACACATCACTCTGCTCTTACTTATGTATGAATAGCCAGAGCTCCTCATCTGGACTGTGGTCCCCTCCTCCTAGCCCTACTCATATTCCCACCCTACCTCCCCCAAAGCCTATAGAAGCCCCCTATGTAGAAAAAACAGCAGACACACACATACTAAGAAACGCATGTACCTGGACCCTCCTCCACACGGAGCCCCTGAAACATGCAGACCCCTGGGGCTTTCCTCACTCATAGACAGACACAACACCATCCCTCCCTCCCTCCGGGCCTCCCCCCACACGCCCACAGATAGAATCCTTTCCACTTGGTCCTTTGCCCTGAATATCTGGAAAACCACACACACACATGCACACATCTGCTGCCCATTCTCTCTCTTTGGGAGACAAAGGACTAGATTGGCCCTACTCCCTGTGCCACCAGCTTACAGGCAGTGGCCTGCGGTCCTATTGGGTCCTATTTCCTCCAGGATGGAAAATCCTGAAGGGGGCTTTCTAGAGGGGCGGTGGTAGACAAGGAGCTTCTTAGCCTGGGAGGGGGGTCGTGAAGAGGGCTTCTAGGAAGCAGCCCCTGCACAGTCAAAGGATGCTCATGAGAGGGGGTGGGGGGGAGGCCCCTGCCCATTCACATCTGCCCCTTGTGCTTCACGTGGGACAGCTTCACATTCTCCTCATCGGTGGAGGGTGGAGGTGGTTCCAGGTGGCAGCCAATCATGAGCTGATACACGAGGACACCCGCAATGGAACCCAGGAGTGGGGAGATGATGGGCACCCACCACCAGTGGCGGCCGGTCCTGGGGGCAGACAGATGTGGTCAGGGACGCGTGGGGCAGGGCAGAGGGGAGACGGGCTGGCGCACGCTGGCGGGGACTGCACTCACGTGAAGACTTCCGAGCCCCAGCCGGCAATGGCTGTGAAAAGGCGAGGGCCGAAGTCCCGGGCGGGGTTGACGGCGTAGCCAGAGTTGAAGCCCATGGACGTGCCGATGACCAGGACCACCAGGCCCACAGTGAAGGCCTCCAGGCCACGCGGGACAGGGTTATTGTAGGGGTCCACAATGGCCAGCACACACACGATGAGGGAGGCTGTGCCAATGAACTGGGGAGTGGGGAGAACAGGGTGAGAATAGCCCCCATCCACCTTCCAGCTTCCCTCCACTCTCAGAGTCTTGGCATCTCCCGTGCTCTGCTCTCCAGAGCAGTGGTACTAAGACTTTTGCTGGTTAAATTTGCAGATTCCTAGGAATCTGCTCTAGACGAGGAGTCCTGTCCCCCAGCCAGCCCATGAGCAACCCAAGGCAGCCTGGTCCTCCTCCCCGAGTTCCCCTCACTCACCCCCAGCCCATACCTGGTCGAAGAAGCCATTGACCATGTCCAAATGTCCAGAGGGGTAGGTGGCAAAGATGCCAGCTGTGCCATTGGGGCCCGAAACTATAAGCTGGTTGTTGGCGAAGGCCCAGATTGCATCTGGTCACAGATTAAACATCAAGTGGGTGAGGGCAGAGGTCTGAGCCCCATCTCCCCTCTCAGGCTGGGCCCACCCTCCCAGAGGTCACAGGTGAGTGTGATCGCTGCTTTATTACCCTGGAGTCGGGGGTGGGAAGGTGGAGGGGTGGAGGGCCTGACTCCATTTTTGCCCGACTCATTTCTTTCCCCTCATGACCCCCACCTGGGACCTGTGCGTAAATGAGTCATAAGCCCGGGGCCTGGGCAGGCCCCAGCCATCTGTCATCAAAAGGCCTGGTGCCAGCAGGTCCCAAGCAGAGGGAGGGGGTAGTGGAGGAAGGCAGGGTGGGAAGCCTCACCATAATACAGCCCAAAAACGATCCCGGCACCCAGGAAGGCTCCCAGAGTCTGAGCCATGGCGTAGATGGGCAGCTTGATCCAGGGCTCACGTGCCAGGAAGCACATAGCAAAGGTCACGGCAGGGTTCAGGTGAGCCCCTGGGCAGAGGGGAGATGGAACCTATTAGCCCCTGCCTGCCACAGTAGGGAGGCCAGGATTCCCCCGCCCCATACTCCCACTCTCTGGCCTGGTGAGCAGGGATGCAGAGAAGGGTTTCTTGTACAGAATGGTGTGTTGGACTATGTAACAGGCCAACTCGACTAATCTCTGATTCCGAGGTGAGAGTCGAAATTTCCAAGTATCAAGTTCCTTCACCACTCTTCTCTTCCAAGGACCCAAAGCTAAGCCCTGGCTATGCCTTGTTCTGAGATGACCTCCACTCCCACCCTATTCTCCAGCGGGACACCTTGTGGGAATGCTGTGGAGGGGTGATGGCTGAGGGTGGGGTAAGGCCTTACCAGAGACCTGGCCAGCGATAAGGATGCCTAGGGTGACGGCGAAGCCAAAGGCCAGGTTGATGGTGAGGAAACCACCGTGGGTGCCCCGGCTGAGCACGACCTGGGCCACAGAGCCACAGCCAAACAGCTGTGTCAGGAAACAGAACAAAACAGGGAGGGTGAGGACCAGTGAGTCTCACTCCAGAGGGCAGGGATGAAGCCAACAACCTCCCCCTGCCTTCATGGGGAGGACGGGAGGGCGAGAAGCCCTTTCCTGGAATTGAACCCCTCCTCCTCCTGCTGCAGTTATACCCCGCAGAAGAAGCAGACATGGCCTCTTAGCCCCAATGTCCCAACTCTACTAAGAACAGTGTCCTATGGAAGGGACTGGAAGCAAAGTTTGCAACCTTGAGCCCAGAAGATGGCTGAACCATCTCCACTGATTTTTCTTGACTCTCAGTAGGAGTGGGTGGAAGGGGACACTCTCACCTGAGCAGTTCCTCCCCCAGCCCTTCAGGCCTGGCCCATAGGGGTGGGAAGGCTCTCACTCATCCCCCACCTGCAATTGCCTCCCTCTCTGCCCCAAAGAAGAGCTGAGGGGGAGAGGGCACAAAGAAAGGGAGGAAGCCAGAGGTTAGTTTGAGTCCACTTCTCCTGAATCTGGGGTGTCAGAGCTCCTGCCTCTCCCTGCTCTCCCTCTCAGGATCTTCAGCCTCCTTGACCTGTTCCTGACCCAGAGCCTCCTCTCTCCACTCACCCTGACCTCCCTGCCCTCAGAGGTCCAGGTTCCCCACTCAGATTTGGAGGTCCCAAAGACAGTGATCTGTCTAGTCTCACTAGCCATAGTCCAGGACCCCCAGAGCAGTGGAAGTGGGGAGATTGGTTCTAAGTTTTCTGCTGGAAATTGGGGGGGGGGGGCGGGGGTTCAAGGGGACTGTGATCTGTCTAGTCTCACTAGCCATAGTCCAGGACCCCCAGAGCAGTGGAAGTGGGGAGATTGGTTCTAAGTTTTCTGCTGGAAATTGGGGGGGGGGGCGCGGATTCAAGAGGACTAAAATCTCTGATGTCCTGCAAGTACAGAATGTGCTATTTGTCGGTTCCCCTTGTTCAAATGTAAAAATGTTTCTGTACTAGCTCCTCTGTAAAGAGCCATTGCCCTGAGCCCCCAAAGTGTCCCCCGAAGCTGCTCCAGCCCTGCCCCAGCTCTCCTCTCCCACCTCTCCGTAACTAAAGTCTTTATGCCTATCCAGCAGAAATTTTCCAAAACCTGTGCTAAGGGCCCTCGTCACTTCTAAAGGGTCAGTGTCCTGCTGTACTGGGTGGTTAAGCATTTTGATTATCATCCTTCACGAAGACCAAGAGATAGTGGGGAAGCCAGCAGCAGTGATGCAGGGCAAAGGTGTGCAGGCAAGTGAGAGCAAAGGTCAGAGAGTGTAAGTATGTATGTGTGTTGGAACAGGCACGTGAGGGTCTGGGGCACCCTGCCCGGCTTGGCCGGCCCTGGCCTCAGCTCCTTGCCTGCCTGAGGCCCAAACCTGGCTCCATCCCAGGAGGCCTTGGAGGGAGAAGCTGTCAGAGCCAGTTCCACCACCTTGAGACTCATCTTCCTCTTCCTCTGGGCTCACTCTCCCTCTCCTCACCTTACTAGGAGCCTCAGAGAAAGAGGCTTCCCTCGCCTGAAAGCCAGCCTTGCTTCTGCCACTGCAGGCTCTCGGTCCCCAACCCACGGAGGTATGCAGGTAAGCCCTCACCGACCACTTGGGTGTCTCTCGGGCCTGGCCTCTCCTCTTCGGGCACTGACACAAAATGCCTCTAAGCCACCTGAGCCTGAACGCCTTCACAGACATAACACACTCCTTCTGTGGTCAGGGAAAAGCCAAATGATCCTGGGGCTCAGCGGGAGGCCTGACTGCTCCTTTGGGGGAAGGCAAACTGAGACTAGGGAGGAGATAGGGAGGCCCCTCTGTGAAGGGAAGACAACTTGCTCTGTTCTGGCTGCTCTCAAACAGGGGACTGGACTAAAAATCAGACAGGGACCGGGGGACACACGGCTCGGGGGCAGGAGGAAAACAAGCGTCTGCCCCTATTCCCTTCTTGGCACTTGGCACTGGGAGAGAAGAGAGGCAGATGACTGGGAGGTCTACTAGTCTGCGGAGGGGGTATGGATAAAGTGCCCCACCTGGCTTCCCCCCTTCTTGTTCCTGGAAGCCAGAGGTGAGTCCAGCTTTCCTCTCTCTATAGAATCTGCTCCACCACCACCACCCATTTAGGGTGGGCCATCCAGCCCTACTTGCCCCTAGTTAATCTTGCTAGTTCACAGGGGGCCAGCTGGTCTGTGTTACCTAGGGTTTGAAAGTGGGACACGGAGTACCCCATCCCCTGCAATGGAGCAAATGAACCCAGACGTAACCCAGAGGGAAACAGGTGTAACCACAAGAGTGACTGAAAATCTGAGAGTAACTGGGACAGGAAATGGAGCCCATAACTGGTGTGTCTGTCAGACCCAAGAAGTGCAGTCACCCAGGAACAACCCAGACCCAAACTGGCATAACCAGGGCATAACTGAGACTGGGGAGTAACCCAGGCAGGGAAGCGTCCCCCTCAGAGAACCTGTACAGTAACTCAGGCCCGGGGAGTAAGTCAGAGAGCTTCTGCATGGAAGCTGACAGCATCTGTCTGGGAGTTGCTCAGCACTAGGGGAGGAATTTTAATGACACCACGTCCTTTGTGCCTGGGGCACAGCTGCCTTCCACAGCCTCCTATCTTCAGGATCCTCCCTCCTTCCCGCTTGCTGTTTGCTGTGTAGCCCCCACTCTCTGCCCCCACCTGTGGCAAACTGTCCTTACAGCAGGGCAACTTTTGGACTTTCTGAGGCTTAATTATTCATTAGGGGCCAGGCATCCAAAACCCAAATAACCCAAGAGAGACCCATTTGCCACTGCCTCCACTGCCTCCCAGGGCTGGGACTCTAGGAACCTGGGGAGCTGTGGAAGCCAGAAAGGGCTGGAGGTCCCAGACTGCAGAGGTGACTGCTGTCCCCAGCCTGTGGGCTGGGTCACTGGTGAGAGGGTAAAGGATCAGAGCTGTCACTGGGGCATAACAGCTGTCATTCTGGCAAGGGTCGGAACTGTCAGTCACTGAGGGGTTAGCGCTATGGGCGAATAGTGCTCCGGAAGGGGTCAAGTTGGGGGCGAGGGATCAGAGCTGGGAGAGGGGTCAAGGCTGTCTTAAAAAACACAGACCCTCTGGTGAACAGAGGGACTGGGGAGTGTGGGGCTGGAGAGAGGCTTCTCCCTCCACTCACCACGAGGATAAGGGTCCCCAGGCACTCAGCCAGCGCCTGGCGAAGCAGCTGGTAGCGGATGTGGAGCATCTCCCCGCAGCGGGACACCAGCTCCTTTTGTCGACCCATGGCTGGGGCAGGCGGCGGTGCTGTCGGGCGGGCGGCGGACGCAGCAGCAGTGGCCGTCAGCGCCGAGTGGTGCCTTTTATAGGAACCGGAGGCACGCGCCCCGCCCGCCGGCACCGCCGCCTGCCGAGCCGGGTGCCGGCCTCAGGAGGGGGCGGCCACCCCTCACTGCTCGCCTAGGGAGGCTGGAGGGGACGCTGGGTTGGGGGGACGCTGATAAGGAAGGTAGGGGTGTGTGGTGTGAGGCGGCTTTAGGGCTGGTGTTGGCCCCGGGGAGGAGGTGTGTGGGGGCTGAGACCAGACTGCGGGATTGTGGAGTCTGAGAGCCGATGGTGGGGTGTAGGCACGTGCAGGACGGGGGCTCAGGGGGGAAAAGGAGCCGCCAAAGAGACCTCCTTGGGCCACTCGCAGTGAGCCTCGCTGCCATCTTCACCACGGTGGAGGGGAGAGGAGACATGTCAGAAAGGAAAGGAACTCTGCTTAATGCACTGTGGTGTCCTAAGTGGGAGGGAAACCCAAAAGCGAGGGGATATATGTATAAGTATGGCTGATTCATTTTGCTGTGCAGTAGAAGCTAATACAGCATTGTAAAGCAACTGTACTCCAGTAAAAATCAGCTAATAAAAAAAATTTTTTTTTTTTAAAGAGAGAAAGGAAAGAAACTAGCCCCAGCTCTACACGATGGTTGGACCTGGCGTGTCCGCAGTCAGGGGCCTGGAGGGAGGAAGCTGTGGACCCCAAGGGAGAAGAGACCCTCTCAGAGTCCAGACCCAGGTGGACTCAGGAACACAGGTGCTGAGTTCCAGCCAGAGTACACCGGCCCTTGTTTCTTGCGCAGTTAGTACGTGTCACATGTTGCATGTCTTGACCCGCTCCGTTCTCAGCTGTGTCCACACATGACATCTGTCCTATGTGCCTGATCACACTTTCTGGGCATTTTTCATGGCTTTGCTCATGCATGTTGAACATGGCCGGGTTAACAGAGCTGTCACACGTGTACCTGCGTGCATCTTGCACATGGCTCCAGAGGCTGAGCTGCAGTTGTCCTGACACGCCACAGGCCACATGCTTGCCGGCAAGGTGAGTTCCAGCTGGTTTGTTTTTTGGTTTTTAATATTTATTTAGTTATTTATTTGGCTGCACACTCGGATCTAGTTCCCTGACCAGGGATCAAACCCCGGGCCCCCTGCATTGGGAGGGCAGAGTCTTAACCCCTGGACCACCAGGGAAGTCCCGAGTTCCAGCTGCTTTTAACCCTCACCTCTCCCGCTCTGGCTGATCTCTGACCAGGGGTAAGTCTGTCCCTTTAAGAGATTAAGCTGGCTGAACTGAGGGTGTGTCAATCCCATCTCAGGAGAGGCATGGGGCAACCCTGTTCCCTATGCTGCATCTGATAATTGGGAAACTGAGGTCTGGTAGCCTGGGCCTTACTCCCACAGGACTGGAAGCAAATATGCCCTCACCCCAGTCTCTAATGGCAGCTTTGCCAGGGAAGAGCACATTTTCCAAAGGGACTTAATCCAGGTGGGCTAAGGTCCCAGGGGACTTGTCCCTTGAGGAATGTCTGTCAAAAATGAGGGCTCCAGAGGCGACTCATGCCCAAAGAGATAGGGTTTGGCAACACACATAGGTAGATTCACAGGTGCACATGCAGGTGTGCAGCACACACACCACCCCCGAGGCTGGCAGCCATACTTGCCTATAGACCCTGAGCTTTGTTCACATGCTCCCGGGATCCCATTGCCCATGAGAGCCTAGCCATAGGCTCACATATATATGTAATCCCCTCACAAGAGGTCCCCCATGACCCTTGGCCCAGGAAGAAGCACCATACCCCCTGAACCCCACGGGCTGGGAGGGCCCAGGGTGAATCAAGGAGCCATCACTGAGTGCCTGCCGGAGGTCTCACTGCCCATCTGTGACTCAGGACAAAACCTTAGACTCCTGGTGCCGGAGCACAGACTGTGGGAAGGGGGGAAAGCTCCCCACAAGACTTCACTCTCTTCTCCCCACTCCCTGGTATGCTTCTCAGCCCCTCACTGCCCCAGGTGGGGCTGCACAGGGCAGGAAGTGGCAAAGTGGTTCCTCAACACTGAAAGAAAGTAGGGAACCCCACCCCACAGAACCCCATCCTCACTCCTGCTGGTCCTGGGCCTGCCAGCAGCCGAGCCTGGCCTGGAAACTGGAGAAAAACAGGGGCAGCTCCACCATGAGCAGGCAGAGCACACACCTCCCCCCGGCCCTATATACACGTGTTTGCACTCAGTTCACATAGGTGTTCACATGGGCTTCACCATGAGGGAGCAGGTCACACACATAACTGGATCTGTGTATCTTGCAAGTAGCATCTATTTACACATGTGCACATGTGTGTACATGCTCACCTATAATCTGGGGCTGCAGCTCACCATAGAGCATCTTTGCGACCTCCCATTTCCCCAGTGGATGCAGCGCCATGCTGAGGCACATGGCTTGGCAAGTGGAACGAGAGCCAGTTCCCAATGCCCCCTCACTCCAAATCAAGGTCCAACTTTCAAGACCATGACCCCATATACTCCCACCAAACTGGTTCTTATCTGTAACTAGGGTGTACACACATGTTCATACATGTACACACCATGCATATTGGGATGGGTTAGGGTTGGAGCTGAGGAGGTATGGGTAGGGCTTCATGCTTCTTAGTGGGCCTGAGGGACCCTGCCTGGAGGAGGGGGAAGGATGCAATGCTTTCCAAGGGTCCCTTATTCCTGTCAGCCCCCCTCGGGGCATCTGGGAATAAGAGGGGTCAGGGCCTGAGGATGCTTGTCCAGAAGCGCTGGGCTGGCTGGCCTGAGTCTGGGGGGCTGAAGCAGGACCTCATTGCACAACTGGATGCAGGTGTTGGGGTGAGGGGGCTCATTCTCATTGTAGTCAGTGTGAATGGCGCCCCCAGGAGCAAAAGATAGAAGGAAGCTCAGCTTCACAGGAAGAGCCTGAGCTTGGTGAAGCAGGCCCTGACCCTGAGTCACGCGGCTTACCCAGAGCCATCTGGGCTCCCTCCTGTGCTTAGGGAAGGAAAGCCTGAGTACGGGCTGGGAGCCAGCCTGCCTGCCTGGGAGCTCCAGGACGAGGCACATGTCGAGGCCGTATCTCCTCCCACCACATCTTGAGCAAGGTCCGTGTCTAACCTGTGCAGGAGGGCTGAGGGCAGGAGGGCTGTGCCCAGGAAGGGGACTGACAGCCGATCCACCCCATGGGAGGCTGTGACTCCTTGAGGTCAGAAGCTGGGGGAGTGTGTTCCCAGGCAAGGGAAGGGCTGAAGACGCAAGTGCCAGCCTGTTGGACCAGAAGGACTGGCTGGGGCCCTGTAAGGGGCAGGAGTGGCACGCCCTTCATTTCCTGTCCCCCAAACTCTTTTTGCCTGTATGAGAGCAGCTTGAACCAGCAGAGGAGGAGACATGGGCCTTGCTGTTGGCAAGTGGAGTGGAGAAGAGTGTAGACATAGAAAACAAGTCATACTACAGTCCCCCGGCCTCCCTGAACCCCTAACCTCTTCCCAAGCATTGGAATGGGATGGGGGAGGGGCTGACCAAAACAGACATACATACCTTTTTCAAGTTTAGAAAGTACTTCCTGGGGCTTCCCTGATGGCACAGTGGTTAAGAATCCACCTGCCAATGCAGGGGACACGGGTTCGAGCCCTGGTCCGGGAAGATCCCACATGCCGCAGAGCAGCTAAACCTGTGCGCCACAACTACTGAGCCTGCACTCTAGAGCCTGCGAGCCACAACTACTGAAGCCTGCATGCCTAGAGCCTGTGCTCCATAGCAAGAGAAGCCACCGCAATGAGAAGGAGCCTGCGCACCACAACAAAGAGTAGCCCCCGCTCGCTGCAACTGGAAAAAGCCCACACACAGCAACAAAGACCCAAGGCAGCCAAAAAAATAATAAATTTATATAAAAAAATAAGTAAATAAAGTAAAAATAAATAAATTTATTTTTTTTTAAAAGTACTTCCTCCCATTTGTGAAACAACCCCCAGAAGTGGGTGTATACTTTACCCTTTCACAGATGATAAAACTAACAGTTGGAGAGAAGTCACTTGCCGTTAAGTGTTTTGGTTTTTTTAAATAAACTTATTTATTTTATTTGTTTATTATTTTTGGCTGCGTTGGGTCTTTGCTGCTGTACGCGGGCCTTCTCTAGTTGCAGCGAGCAGGGCTACTCTTCGTTACAGTGCGTGGGCTTCTCACTGCAGTGGCTTCTCTTTTTGTGCAGAACGGGCTCTAGGCGCGCAGACTTCCATAGCTGTGGCACGTAGGCTTCAGTAGTTATGGCGCACGGGCTTAGTTGCTCCGTGGCATGTGGGATCTTCCCAGACCAGGGCTCAAACCCATGTCCCCTGCATTGGCAGGTGGATTCTTAACCACTGCGCCACCAGGGAAGCCCCCCACCCCACCCCGTTAAGTGTTGAGCTGGATTCAAACGCCATGCGGATATGGAGGAGACGTGAAGAGGGCAGGGAGGCCAGGGAGCCACAGGTCCCTCCATGCTTCAGCACCCTGTCTAGAGGGTGCCCCACTCTTAGGCCACTGCTGGATGCTATTTCTGTTTCTGGGCCTTGAGAGTCGGGGGCTGGCTCTGGACAGGAACGGGGAGTGGAGGGCAGAGATGAATCACCCTCTTATGAGCATCCCCAGACTGGGGGGTGGGCAAGCAGTTCCTCCTGCTGCACCAACAGTCACCCCCTGTCTCCAGGCAGTCGGGATGCAGGAGAGCCTGTGAACACAAACCACACCCCGGGGCACCTCCGGCCAGATGTCCAGCTGGAATTTGAGAAAATCTACCTTTTGACCCATATCCTGGGGACTCTGTGTTCACCTTCTGGTGTCACCCTGAGCTGCCCTTGGCACCCTTTGAGGACAGCAGAGGGTCACAGAGAGGAGGCAGAGGAATGGGACGGGAGGCCTAGGCCCTGTGCTGAGGAAGAGCCCAGAGCCACAGGGCCTGGGCTGATGGGGGCAGAGCCCTCCTATAGACCCAGAAGCTCAGCTC